GCACCTTCTACATGCTAGGCCTGGGGATAAAAACAAAAGTGAAATAGTCCCTGCCCTGGAGGAGTTCACAATCTAGCTCAGGAAGACATAGACAAATTATAGGCCAATGCAAATACATGTACAAAATCAACACCCCATAATTAGTGAGAGTGGCAGGGGAAGATATTGAAAGCTGGGGGGGATCAGGAAAGTGTTCATGTAAAAGGTGGAACTGAAGCTGAATCATAAAGGAAAATCATAAATCATAATCATAAAGGAAACCATACATTCTAAGATGCTTAGCTCTCAGGTGAATATATTCCAGGCATGGAGACAACCAGTAAAAAGGAATGGAGGTAGGAGATGGAACGCCGTCTATAAGAAACTGTTGGAAAAAAAAAAAAAGTTTGGCCTGTGTTGTGTGTGAAAGGAATAACTTCTAATAGACTGGAAAGGTACAATGGGGCCTGGTCGTGAAGGGCTTGAAATACTAAATGGAGGAATTTATATTTGATCCTAGGAGTAATAGAGAGCCATGAGAGTTTATTGAGCAGGTGAGTGACATCACAATGTCACCACTTTTGCAGCATGCCTTATTCTAACTAAAAGGCACATGTCTCTAAAAGCAATGGCAGAAATTTCCAGCATCATTGTTAGGCTGGCAGGTGAGATATTTGGGGGGCCAAGGGGCCTCTTGGTGTTCCTAAAAACAACTACTCTTGAGGACCAGTCAATTTTGAACCCTTCCTTGAAAGCCTTGCCAAGGTCAAAGCAGGAACTAGGGTCCAACAAATTCCTATTCCCCACCTGTTCCTATGAGAACTTGTAAGATCGTTGCATTTAGAGTTAGAAAAGACCTTCAAGTTTGACTAATCCATTATACAGATGAGGAAACTGAAACCAAAAATGGTCAGGTTCCTTGTCCAAGGTCACACAGATAGTAAGTAGCAAATCTAGGATGTGGTATTTCCATTTCACACTCATTTTCTCGTTTCAACTAGTAGTTGTTGCCATATCTTAATGATCTTTGATTTAGACATTGCTCTTGATCAAAATTCAAGCAGGCAAAATATAAGAAATATAGGAAAAGTGCCTTCCACATTGCATGGAAGAGTGAACTTCTGTTTGGACCCTGACTCCTCTTCCTCATAAGTTTCTTTCCTGTCTGAATGGCCCTAACTGAAGCCCAGCTGCTCATGTCATTCCTGGCAGCTTTCTTAACATAATACAGTCTTCCATTTGATACGGAGTGATTTTCTCAGAACGTATACATTCTCATACACACACACACACACACACACACGTACACATATATATTTAATACATTAACCTCAAATGATACCACCTGGTTCATTCTTACTATCCAAAAGACCATTCTATGTTTTTAATTTTTTTAATATTTATTTTTTCCAACTACATGTAAAAATAATTTTTACATACTTTTAAAAAATTTTTATTTCCAAATTCTGTTTCCATTCTTCCCCTCCCCCCTCATTGAGAAAGCAATCAATTCAATATAGAGTATACATGTACAATCACATAAAATGTATTTCCATATTGGTCATGTTGTAAAAGAAAACAGACCAAAAACAAACAAACAAACAAAAAACCAAGAAAAATAAAGCTTTTATAAAGTATGCTTCAATCTGCATTCAGAATCCATAGTTCTTTCTCTGAATGTGGATTGCATTTTCCATAAGTCCTTTGGAATTCTTAGATCATTGGATTACTGAGAATAATTAAATTATTTACAGTTGATCACTGTATAATTTTGCTGTTACTGTGTACAATGTTTTCTTGGTTCTGCTCATTTCACTTTGTATCAGTTAATGTGAGTCTTTCCAGGTTTTTCTGAAAGCATATTGCTCATCATTTCTTATAGCACTATTGCATTCTATCACAATAATATACTACAACTTGTTCAGTCATTCCCCAATAGATGGGAAGCCCCTCAATTTTCAGTTCTTTGCTATAACAAAAAGAGCTGCTATAAAGATTTTTGTACAATTGGGTCCTTTTCTTTAAAAAAAAAAAAAAAAAGCTCTTTGGGATATAGACCTAGTGGTGGTATTGCTAGATCAAAGAGTATACACAGTTTTATAGCCCTTTGGCCATATTTCCAAATTGCTCTCCAGAATGGTTAGATCTGTTCACAATTCCACCAACAGTGCATCAGTATCCCAATTTTCTAACATTCCTGCCAACATTTGTACTTTTCCTTTTCTGTTATATTAAACAATATTAAAACAGAGGTGGTACCTCTGAGTTGTTTTAATTTGCATTTCTCTAATAAATAGTGATTTAAAGCATTTTTATATAGCTATAGATAACTTTGATCTTTTCTTCTGAAAACTTCCTGGTAATATCCTTTAACTATTTATCAATTGGAGAATAATGTGTATTCTTATAAATTTGATTCAGGTCTTTATATATTAGAAAAATGAGGCATTTATCAGAGAAATTTGCTATAATTTTCCCCCAATTCTTTCTTTCTAATCTTGACTGCATTGATTTTGTTTGTGTAAAACCTTTTTAATTTAATTAACAAAATTATCCATTTTATATCCTCTAATGCTCTCAATCACTTGTTTGGTCATTAATTCTTCTTTTATCCATAAATCTGACAGCTAATTTCTTCCATGCTCCCCTAATTTGCTTATGGTATCACCCTTTATATCTAAATCATATAATTCACTCTGCTATCTGTTTCTATTTTATGAGTGAGTTCATCCCGTTCACATTCACAGTTATGATTATTGTGCATTTCTCTCCATCCTACTTTTTTCCCCCATTTATCCTCTCCTTTCACCCTTTCCTGCTCAAAAGTGTTTTGCTTCTGACCACTGCTTCCACCAATCCACGCACCCTTCTATCAGTTTCCCACCCTTTCTTTTGCCTCCTTCCCCATCTACTTCGCTGTGGGATGAGAGAGATAGATTTCTATGCCCAACTGAGTGTGTGTGTCATTCCCTCTTTTAGCCAATTCCAATGAAAGTGAGGTTCAAGCATTACCCACCCCCCCAATTTTCCTCTCCACCGTAAAAGCTCTTTTGTGCCTCTTTTATGTGAGATAATTTATTCCATTCTATTTCTCCCTTAACCTTCCTCCCAGAGCCTCCCTCTTTCTCATCTCTTAATTTCATTTTTTGGGATATCAGCCCATCAGAATCAACTCACACCCAGGCCTTCTATGTATACTTCTTCTAACTACCCTAATAATGATAAAGTTCTTCTAACATTATTAATTCCCTTATGATTTCTCTTTCCTGTTTGTCTTTTTATGCTCTTGAGTCTTGTATTTGAAAGTCAAATGTTTTATTCAGCTCTGGTCTTTTTATCAGGAATGCTTGAAACTCCTCTATTTCATTAAATATACATTTTTTCCCCGGAAGGATTATATTCAGTTTTGCTGGGTAGGTGATTTTTGGTTGTAATCCTAGCATCTTTGCCCTCCAGAATATCATATTCCAGGCCTTCTAATTCTTTAATGTAGAAGCTGCTAAATTTTGTGTTATCCCAACTATAGCTCCATGATACTTGAATTATTTCTTTCTGATTGTTTATAATATTTTCTCCTTGACTGGAGAGCTATCCAGTCTATCATTTGGGGAGTTTTCATTTGGGGATCTCTTTCAGGAGGTGATCAGAGTATTCTTTCAATTTCTGTTTTACTCTCTTGTTCTAGGATATTGTGGCAGTTTTCTCTGATAATTTCTTCCACTGTGATGTCTAGACTTTTTTTTCATCATGGTTTTTAGATAGTCCAATAATTCCTAAATTATCTTTACTCAATCTATTTCTCATGTCAGTTTTTTCCCCTGATATTTTCTATTTTCTTCTATTTTTCTTTCTTTTGATTTTGTTTTATTGTTTCTTGATGTCACATGGAGTCATTAGCTTCCACTTGCCCAATTTAATGAATAATTTTCCTCAGTGAACTTTTGTACCTTCTTTCTCCATTTGGCCACTTCTACTTTTTAAATAGTTATTTTATTCAATGAAATTTTGTACATCTTTTTCCATTTGGCCAATTTTGCTTTCCAAGGAGTTATTTCAGTGGACTTCTGTGTCTCATTTAACATTTGACCTATTCCATTTTTAAGGTGCTATTTTCTTCAGTATTTTCTTATGCCTCCATTATCAAGCTGCTGACTCTTTTTTTTATTATTATTATTTTCTTGCATCACTCTCATTTATTTTCCCAATTTTTCCTCTACCTCTCTTATTTGATTTTGAAAATTCTTTTTGAGCTCTTTCAGGAATTTTTTTGGGGGCCTGAGACCAATTTACATTTTTCTTTGAGGCTTTTCATGTAGCTGTTTTGACATTGTTACCTTCTTTTGAGTCTGTCTCTTGACTTTTCCTGTCACCATAGTAATTCTCTCTGGTCAGTTCCTTTTGTCATTGTAGGCTCATTTTCCCAGTCTATTTCTTGCCTTTTAACTTTATATTAAAGTTGAGCTCTGTTCCTGAGGTGGAGTGGGTACCGTCCCAAGCGTCAGGTTTTGTGTGTGTGTGTGTGTGTGTGTGTGTGTGTGTGTGTTTGTGTGTGCTGCTATTTTCAGACCCAGTCCTGGGGCTGTGTAAGTTTTCAGTTCTTCCAAGGTGGTATGATCTAAAGAGAAGTGAAGTCACTGTTCTCCTGGACTGTGCTCTGGTCTGAGAGTGACTACAAGCACTCTTTTCAACTCTGGAACTATGACCAGGGTCCCTGCTTGGCTAGTGCTCCTCTTGCACTGAGTCTGTGGCCCAGAACCACATGTGGACAAGGCAACAGAATCCTGCTCCCAATACCAGCAAAGGGTCCCCTGTAATCTCCTGCTGGTCAGTTTTCTGACCTTATCATCTATGGCTTCAAAGCTCTGGAAGTTGCTTCCACTGATTCCCCCATGGCCTGCTGCTGGCTTGCTAGGGCCCAGCCCACCCTGGCACAGTCTGAACTGGATTGTGCTCCACTCTCACCCCAGTGAGACAGACCTTTCCTGACAACCTTCTAAGTTGTCTTGGGCTAGAAAATTGTTTCACCCCATCCTTTTATTGGTTATGCACTTCAGAATTCATTTTGAGGCATTATTTTAATGTTTTTTGGAGGGGAATTCAGGAGAGCTCAGACGAGTCCTCGCCTTTACTCCTCCATCTTGGCCCTACCCCCCCACACAGACACACTCCCCAGACCATTCTTTGTTTATAATACATATATGTGTATACACACAAGAAAACTGTTCCCATGGCTCTTGAGACATAAAGAACTATTGAACTCATGGACCTCATTCTTAGTAAGCAGGCCAGTAGACATATTTACAAAAGCAAGGCCTGCATATAGTTTCTTCCTGAGTCCTTTGGTTGAATCCTTTCAAAGAGAATACCTGGATTGGCGTTGATGTGAACAACAAAACATTCCATTTGCATTAGAAACTTGCTCTTCAAAAGATTGAAAGCACCTGACTTGCACCTGGGCATCTTCAGTTCCCTTGCTGTGATCACAGAGAGACTAACAAGTCCCACTTCAAAAAAACAAAAAATAAAAAAACAAAAAACAAAAAAAACCCAGGAAGATACAGTTGGGTGGAGGGTGTTGTAGTTCAATGGGATGCCACTTGAAATCTGAATACCAAGATGTCAGAAGGAAGGCTGAGTCCCAAAGGAATCATCTGTCCTTGTCTCTCCTGGTACAGCCCAGGGCATTACCTTGGACTATATCAGTGAATATCAAAATACAGAATCATCCAAATTGTCCAATCCAGGGTCTTCCACATAACTTATGACCTCGATTTCTGTTTCACTGGACCTGGTTTTCTGGAAAACAAATATTAAGAAATAAAGCCATTTGCTTTGACTTCAGCCCCTTGAAAGAAAACCTCTAAAGATATCCTGGTTGTCCACAAGGTTGGTCACACAGCTTGGTTTCAAGGGTGTTGTTATGTATTCTTTAAGAGAAACAATTACAAATAATGCAGTGTATGAAATTTTACCTTCCATATCCCAGTTAAATATGTTGACCTTTTCTATGCATAACTCTAGCAATAATAAAACCTTTGAATTAGGATCAGACTAGAGCTGGAAGGGACCTTGATGGTCATCTACTTCCCTCATTTTACCCGTTAGAAAATTAAGGCCCTTTGAAACTGAAGTGTCTTGCCCAAGGTCATACAAGTCATAAGATCATAGACTTAAAGCCAGAAGTGACCTTGTAGATCATCTAGTCTGAACAACTCATTTGAAAGCTGGAAACTAAGGCCCAGAGAGGCCTTGGCCAAAGTCACAGAAATAGTGAACAGCGGGCAGTATTTGAACACCAGCAATCTGTTCACAGCACTGCATTACCTTCCTACATTGGAGAGGAAACATCAATCTGTTTTGAAGCTGATTTGAAACTTACTTTAACATTTAGAAAAAGCCATTCTTGTCATAATTAAAGCCAAGATGTTCGGGAGGCAGGAGGCGTCCCTCTCTTGTCTCCCCCAGCTTCCTCAGCTCAAATTCTATATTCTGCGGGAGACCTTTCCCAGCCTCTCCTCGCCCTCTCTCCCTGGGCCTTCCCTCTAAGATTCCTTCTACTCTGAATATATTGCCTTATTTACATGTTGTCTCTCCTATTAGAATGTAAACCCCCTGAGGGAAGTCAAAGACAGAATTTTTGCTTTTCTTTGTACCTCTAGCACTTAGAGCAGCATTTGGCACATACTACGCACTTAAGAAATGCTTGTTAATTGACTGACTAGAGAGGAAAGATTCATCGAATCATAGGCTTTAAGGCTGGTGAGGATCCTTTAGTCCACAGCCTTCATTCTTTCAAAGGGGTACTGAGGACCAGAGAAGGTAAGTGAGTTGTCCACGGTCACACAGTAAATAGCAGTCAAGAATGGAGCCTAAATGATGCAAAACAAACTTCCTGTTGATATGACAGTCAGAATGGCTTCTCACTGGGATCTGAGCAGGCAAAAACTTACTTGACAAACCCTTACCCTGAGAGAGCTCTTGGAAGGCAGAGATCCCCAAAGCCCAAGACTGCCTCCAGCACTACTCCTGGGATGCCAGCTGTAATTAGAAATGATCAACACCCCTCCACCATTTCCTCTTCTTCCTAACACTTTCTAGCTGATTCCTACTGGGCTGCTGCCTGTACTGTCAAAGCTGTTGCCACCACTGGCACTGACTGGGCCCCTTATTGCCTCTATTAAGAGTGGAGCCAAACCCAGTTGGAGCAGGGCCCTTGGAGGTGATTGCTTTGTGTGATGGCAGAAGCACTTGGGGAGCATACAGGAGGGGAAGACCACATATGGGGAAGCTGGAATGGGTTCTACCATTTTTCCGGTGACTGGAGAATTTCAGTCCTTTGGGCACACTGCAGCATTCGATTCCTTCATTTTACTTGTTCCTTTTTTCTTCTCTTTAATTGCTGAGGTTGTTTAATAGGAAAGAACAACATGGCAAGAGGACAAGAGGCCCTGGGAAGCCAGGTTGAGCTTAGCGCTAACATTAATATTTGCTATTTGCTTATACTGAAATCCTCTTGTTCCTCCCCAGGTCAGGTTATTTTGAACAGATGCTTTTACTTTTAATTAAAAACAAACCATGAGCTTATCAAATAAGCTTGTAAGCCTACTTCTTTTGCTATCAATAGGAATGGCTTGTTTTCTGTGGGGAAATCAGATACAAGCATTAAAATGACCCATTAAGAGGCTCAGACAAAGGACTTAAGACGGCTGCTCACATCCCCTGTGGTTCTTAGGAGAATGCAGGTCAGGTCCAATTTCAGAGGAATTTCAAACACACCTTGGAAGGGTGGTCAAGTGTCTGCTTGGCGGCAGACTATTAGTCACTGGGCTCCCCTTTCCAAAATGCTGGTGACAGTTTTGTCTAAGCTGACCTTGTACTTCCAGAACAAAGGGGAACCAAGGATACAGACAAAACGGGGAAAAGCCTCAACTGTCTAAGACATTGCCTGTGGTCTCTGTTCACCTGGGCTCAGCCATCTGGGGTCCATTTCAGGTCTGGGTAGGAAAGTTGAAACATACCCAGGGCCTGCCAAAGAAGTGACCACTTCCCGGGTGACTGTGAACCATGAAAGCCCCCTATAAAGATCTGTTAGATGAATGAATGGCACCCTAGCTGATTGTGCTGGAGAAAGGGCTTATGCCACCTTTCCCTAGTAAGCTAATGGAGCAGAAGATGTGAAAGTCAATGAAAGCTGTCTACACAACCACAACTACCAGATGCTGTATGGTAAAGTGGAGAGAGTGCCAGACTTTAGAATCAGAAAGACCTGGCTTCAAATCCCATCCTAGACACTTAGTAGCTAAATGACCCTGTGTAAGTCACTTAACCTCTGTGTACCTCAGTTTATCATCTACAAAATGAGACAAGATAACCTCTACCTTTAAAATCTATGCTTCTTAGATACAACTGAAGAGTCAGTCTAGGAATGGGGAAGAAGAATGCAATTTGGCAAGTTGTTTAACTGAAATGACCAGGTGATTCCATTAAAATATTCAAATATTCTTGAACAAAGAGGTAGAAATATGTGTGTGTGTGTGTGTGTGTGTGCATGTGTGTCTGTGTATAAGCACGTGTCTATCTGTGTATGTGTGTCTGTGTGTGTATGTAAGAGAGACAGAAAGAGAGATAGAGACAGAGGGAGAAAAAAAGAGAGAGAAACAGAGAGAGAATAGCACACAGGTGTCCCCAGCGACATAATCTTTTCACTACATAAAAACTCAATGTGCTATTTCAGCATACTACACAAGTATTCCTAAGCAGGCTAGATATCAAGACTCTTGAGAAATTACCTCATAGATGTTGCTTAAGGAGAGATCCTTAACTTTCCTGTTTGGTGCTGGAATGGGAGGAAATAATTTGGTCCATACCTGGCAGCTGAAAAAGAAGTAAAGGAGAGATTTTAAACAAGGTCACTTGTTCTCTGGCTAGAAAACTTCGCTCTAGAAATGACCCTTAAATGATACATACTAGATGGTGGAGAGAAGCCAGGAAGTTACCTTAGCTCTCCCCAGTTTCCCTCAGAAACAATGTTAAATCAAGCCTCTAAATGGATTCTGGAGCAACAGAACCTACAAAAAGACAGAGGGAAACCATTTTCCAGCTTAAGATAAGTTGGAAGGACCTCAGGAAAGGCCTGTATCACTTGGGTAGGGGAGCGCAGCCCAGTGCAGATGGGGTCCAGGCAAGCCATCAGGAGTCTTTTAGTCCCAGAACAGATCAACACCCAAGGCCCCACAGTCCTGGCTTAGAAGGCCAGTGGCACAGCAGGCCAACTGTGAGGCCTCCAGCCACAGTGCAGAAGGCACTCTGGCCCCAGAACCCAGGGCATAACAGGCATAACTGTGCTGGGCCACCCCAGCACAGTGGGCAAGCTGCCAGCACCTGAGGCCTTAAAACAGAAAGTCAGTGTCCAGGCCCCTGGCCCCCAGCACAAGAAGCTGGGGACAGTGCCCTCTGTGCCCCAGGAGCAGACCCCAAAAGCCACAAAATAAGCTAAAAAAATGAGCAAGAAACGGAAAAGAGCCCTGACCATAGAAAGCTACTATGGCAACAGGGAAGATCAAAACACAAACTCAGAAGAGGACAACAATGTCAAAATGTCTACATGTGAAGCCTCAAAGGGGAATATGAATTGGTCAATAGTATAGCATTCAAATTCTTAAAGGAGAAGTTAAGTGAGTTATAGGAAGAAATAGACAGTGAAACTGTACTAGTGGGGCACTTCAACCTCTCCCTCTCAGAGCTAGGTAAATCTAACCACAAAATAAACAAGAAAGAAGTTAAGGAAGTGAACAGAATTTTAGAAAAGTTAGATATGATAGATTTCAAGAGAAAAAGTGAATGGGAATAAAAAGGAATATACCTTCTTCTCCATGGCACACGGCATCTACACAAAAACTGACCATATGTTAGGGCATAAGAACCTCACAATCAAATGCAGAAGGGCAGAAATATTAAATGCATCCTTTTCAGATCATGATGCAATAAAAATTACATGTAATAAAGGGTCATGGAAAGATAGGCTAAAAACTAGTGGGAAACTAAATAATCTAATCCTAAAGAATGAGTGGGTCAAACAACAAATCACAGAAACAACCAATAATTCCATCAAAGAGAATAACAATAATGAAATAACATTCCAAAATTTTTGGGTTGCAACCAAAGCAGTACTTAGGGGAAATTTTATATTTCTAAATGCTTACATGAATAAAATATAGAAAGAGGAACTCAATAATTGGGCATGCAACTAAACAAGCTAGAAAAAGAACATTAAAAATCCCCAATTAAATACCAAATTAGAAATTCTGAAAATCAAATGAGAGATTAATAAAACTGAAAATAAGAAAACTATTGATCTAATAAATAAAACTAAGAGCCAGCTTTATTAAAAAAAATAATAGAATAAATAAGTCTTTGGTTAATTTGATTTAAAAAAAGAAACAAGAAAACCAAATTATCAGTTATCAAAAATGAAAAGGGTGAATTCACCACCAATGAAGAGGAAATTAAAGCAATAATTAGAAGCTATTTTTCCCAACTGCATGCCAATAAATCTGACAATCTAAGTGAAATGGATGAATATTTACAAAACATAAATTATCCAGATTAACAGAAGAGGAAATAAAATACTAAAATAACCCCATTTTAGGAAAAGAAATTCAACAAGCCATCAATGAAATCCCTAAGAAAAAAAATCTCCAGGGCCAGATGGATTTACAAGTTAATTCTACCAAACATTTAAAGAATAATTAATTCCAATACTATATGAACTATTTGGGAAAGTGGGTAAAGAAAAAGTCCTACCAAATTCCTTTATGATGCAAATATGGTGCTGATACCTAAACCAAGAAGAGCCAAAGCAGAAAAAGAAAATTATAGACCAATTTCCCTAATGAATATTGATGCAAAAAATTTTAAATAAAATCTTAGCAAAGAGATTACAGCAACTTATCTGGAGGATAATACACTATGACCAGGTGGGATTTATACTGGGAATGCAGGACTGGTTCAATATGAGGAAAACCATCAGCATGATTGACCATATTAATAACAAAACTAATAGAAATCATATGATTATCTCAATAGATACAGAAAAGGCCTTTGACAAAATACAGTATCCATTCCTATTAAAAACACTAGAGAGCACAGGAACAAATGGAGTTTTCCTTAAAAGGATAAGTAGTATCCATCTAAAAACCAACAGCAAGTATTATATGTAAGGGGAATAAGCTAGATGCTTTCCCAATAAGATCAGAGGTGAAACAAGAATGCCCAGTATCACCACTATTATTCAATATCGTACTGGAAATGTTACTTTAGCAATAAGAGAAGAAAAAGAAATTGAAGAAATTAGACTAGGCAATGAAGAAACAAAACTATCACTCTTTGAAGATGATATGATGGTCTACTTAGAGAATCCGAAAGAATCAACTAAAAAGCTACTTGAAATAATTAACAACTTTAGCAAAGTTGCAGAATATAAAATAAACCCACATAAATCATCAAATTTCCATATATTACCAACAAATCCCAGCGGCAAGAGATAGAGAAAGAAATGCCATTTAAAATAACTATAGAAAATATAAAATATTTGGGATTCTGCCTGCCAAGACAAACCCAGGAACTATGTGAACACAATTACAAAACACTTTTCACATAAATGAAGTCTGATCTAAACAATTAGAAAGATATCAATTGCTCATGGGTAGGCCAAGCTAATATAATAAAATGACAATTCTACCTGAATTAATTTATTTATTCAGTGCCATACCAATCAAATTACCAAAAAACTATTTTATAGAGCTAGAAAAAATAATAACAATTTATCTGAAAGAACAAAAGTCAAGAATATCAAGGGAATTAAAAAATGCAAAGAAAAATGGCCTAGCTGTACCAGACCTAAAACTATATTATAAAGTGGCAATCATCAAAACTATTTGGCTAAGAAATAGAGTGGTGGATCAGTGAAATAGGCTGGATACACAAAGCACAGTAATAAATGACTACTGTAATCTACTGTTTGATAAACCCCAAGACTCCAGCTTCTGGCATAAGAATTCACTATTTGACAAAATCTGCTGGGAAAACTGGAAAATAATATGGTAGAAACTAGGCATAGACCAACATCCCACACTATATACCAAGAAAATGTCAAAATGGGTACATGATTTAGACATAAAGGTTGATACCCTAAGCAAATTAGGAGATCAAGGAATAGTTCGCCTGTCAGATCTATGAAGAATAGAAGAATTTATGACCAAACAAGAGACAGAGAACATTACGAAATGTGAGATGGATAATTTTGATTACATTAAATAAAAACGTTTTGCAACAAACAAAGCCAATGCAACCAAAATTAGTAGGAAAGCAGAAAAGTGGGAAATAATTTTTGCAGCCAGTGTTTCTGATAAAAGCCTCATTTCTAATATATATAGAGACAACTAAGTCAAATTTATAAGAACACAAGTCATTCCCCAAATGATAAATGGTCAAAGGGTATGAACAGGCAGTTTTCAGATGAAGAAATTAAAACTATATATAGTCACATCAAAAATGCTCCAAATCACTGTTGACTAGAGAAATGCAAATTAAAACAACTCTGAGGTACCACCTCATACCCATCAGATTCGATAATCTGACAGAAAAGGAAAATGATAAATGTTGGAGAAGATGTGGGAAAATTGGAATACTAATGCATTGTTGGTGGTGTTGTGAAGTGATCCAATCATTCTGGAGAATAATTTGGAACTGTGCCCAAAGGGCTATAAAACTGTGCATACCCTTTGATCCAGCAATACCACTAGTAAGTTTG